TGGTTGATATCACGTTGATCTTCGATTTTAACGCTACATTTAATGGAATCTATATTTATGGTACGTGATTTTTTTTTAAAACTTGATTCCTTCATTTTTTTTTATCTCATTAATCTTTTTATGAAATAATTACAAATTCTTTATAATTAGAAAATATTTTTCGAAGTAATTTATGGTAAATAAACTATTAAATGCAGTGAAATAAACGGCATTAGAATAATCGTCCCCTATTATTATTTAAATGCTGATCTCATGCATGGAAATTATAAAGAAAATTAAGTACGTAGACAAATAGTATATGTAAACCTAAATTTCACCTTTAACAAACGCAAATAAAACGATTTACTCAATTTTTGATACTATAGGCAATAGATAACTGATAGATTACATCAATATCTGAATCTATCGGGGTTATTAAAAAAAAAAAATAAAGGACATTTTTAATTAGAGTCGGCAATTGATAAACCAAAAGAAAGTACAAATAATTTTTCTATACACTTTAAAAGCAGGTAACACTTCATCTACGGCTTTTCTGATTCAACGTAAAAGTTTTACGATCAATTATAGTGATAAAAAATTAGCAACTAATACATTTAGTTACAATATATTTTTATAGTGTATATATCTAACTTAATAAATTCTCTTCATTGAGTTTCACCGATTAGAGTTGAAAATTGCATGTTGAGTTGTTGATTGATGTGTTTTTCGAATGTCAAATGCGTAACAGATAAAAATTACGTCTACCCACCCTATATAAAGTTCACCTGTACTCATGGTGTACGTATATATGTATGTGTAGCACAATTTCCACTTAAAAAAAAAAAACCAATTATTAACAATACAGCACACCAGCACGAACCGTTTCGACAAACTGCGAAATGCAGCAACTCTACTATTTCATAACGGCCGCTTTACTCGAATAAGGAGTTAAAAGGTTAAAAGATAATTCGGCAAAACTGATAAGAAAATACTGAAAGAAAGTCAAGACCAGCTAGGCCAAAAGACGACCATTTCCCTTAAAATACTCAATACATAAATAGATAATAGTGTGGCACCATACGATCAAAGTACATTTTAGTGATCCTTGTATGACTGAAATTGTTATCGGTATGTAGACGACGTCGTCTCAACGCAACAATAAGTAAGTAGTATCGATGTTTCCCATTTTTGTTATTAAAAGAATTATTTAATAACATAAGGTTACTCGGTCAGGCGAATGACGGTCAAAATACAAGTTCATTATAAAATGAAGACACTAGCAACCATATACATACTATACATTCGTAGATATACTGTATTTGTAGTTAAACAACCTGTTTAAGTGCGTTGAAAGATGACGTTTACCTTAATTGCGATTAAATAATATACAAGGAGCAGCTATATAAGAGGTCTGCTCAAAAAGTATCGCGAATTTTGTGTTTTTTCAAAAATTACCCCATCATATATTATACACATGTGTCAACGTTTTTTTTCAATCCTCGAAGCACTTTAAAAAATAATTTTTTGTGATCTTGTTCAGTTCCTCCTTCGATGGCGTCTTTATCTTCTCAATCGCAGCGTAGCGTCGTTCTTTCATGGGATTCTTCACAGGGGACCAGATCTGGGGAATAGGGTGGCTGCAGCATTATTAGTGGGTTGTTTTTGGACAAAAATTCGCGCACAAGCAACGATGTGTGAGCGGGGGCGATATCATGGTGCAAAAGTCAATTTTTGTTCATTCACAAATCCGGATGTTTTTGGCGGATTGCTTCGCGCAAATTGCAGGTAATATTCCTTATTGACCTTTCTACCCTGTGTCAACAACTCATGATGCACCAGGCCGTTGCAATCGAAGAAAACCGTAAGCAAAATCTTCACATTCAATCTAACTTGGAGCGCTTTTTTCGGTCTTGGCTCGTGCGGCAGCTTCCATTGGGATGATTGAGCTTTGGTTTCCACGTCATAAGAATAAACCCATGATTCGTCACCAGTTATGACCCTCTGGAGCAAATTTGGGTGTCGCGGACAGAGTCCAACAGCTCCTTAGAAATGTTAATATGATGCTGTTTTAGGTCTAAATTGAGCAATTTTGGAACGAATTTCGCGGCGACCCGTCTCTTGCCCAAATAATTCGTAAAAATCGAATGGCAGGAGTCAATCGATATGTTGAGAGAACACCTTGCTTCGGTCCAATAACCATATGCCACAGTCAACATTCGGAATGCGTCCGCTCACTTAATTTTGTTTTTCACATAAAATTTGATACAAATTCTTTGAACCATTTTTTAGAATAGGCAGAAGTAGAAGACGAGCCAAAATACGTGCAAGCAAAGCAGTTATCAAAAATTAACTGAACATTCAACATGGCCGAACTTGTCGGTATAAGTAAGAGACATAAGTACCAACATAACGCCACAAAATATCGAAAATCGATTATACGTAACTCGCGGAAATTCCAAATTCGCGATACTTTTTGAATAGACATCGTGTGCGCGGGACAGTTTAGTAATAAAGTGAGGAAAATAAAGCCAGTGACTTTTAGAAAATAAATTTCAATCGTCTTTGAACTGAATTTGTACTCGGAGTTCTGAATAGCAATTACATGCCAATAACTCCGGATAATTGGCGCAGCTAGATAATCAAAATGCTATCATCATCATAAGGTCGTCAGTCCTAAGACTGTTTGGACACGTACCTCCACTCTTTCCTATCCTGAGCTAATTTTCGCATTTCCCTAAAACTAGAACAACCCACATCCTTAACTATTTGCGAACAGTAATCTAATCTAGGTCTACTTCTACCCCTCCTAACTCCTGTTTCTGCCTCTAATATGTCTCTGACTAGACCTTCATGCCTGAGANTCAATTAATTATATTAATTAAAAGTACAATTAAAGCAAAGTTTGTGTTAGTTGGGTTATTAGAAAGCCACTGTTTTTAATTTATTCTTAAAATATTATGAACGAAGCGTATAAAACCATCACCATTCGGAATTGATTAATATAAAACATTAACGGTGACAAACAGATTAATTTATCAAGAATCGGTGCAACTCCTTGTAAACGTATGTAGTAGGAATAATGACTAACTGGTTAATTTGTATTATCATTAATTGTGAGTAATTTTGCAAAAATTCTTTTGTTAATTACTAGATTTTTTTTATAATTCACAATTTGTTAAACTTCCCACAACATATATATCAATATCAAAAAACAACATTAAGGATGTTTGGGAGAGGTACAATCGGAGACAAGAGTACATAAAATTAGAAATTCGTAATTAATTAGGTTCTGCAGCATATCATGAGGTAAATAAATTCCCTACTTTTTCTTCCCTTGCATACCAGTATTTTAGTTTTACTTTTATTTATTTTCATACAGTACTGTTTTGTCAGTACCGCTTCCATTTTATTTAAAGTTATCTCTAAATCCTTCTTGCTAGATGCAGTACTGATATAAAAGGGCCAGATGCAAAGTATTTTGGGGCTCCAATTAAACAAATAAATTACTCCACAGCAAAGGGTTAAAATTTCTTTTGTTGTGCAAAGATGCAAACAGTGCCTAAGTTATGATACAATATCATATAATGGCAACCAATAGAAGAAACAGTGACAAAAGTAAGATAGCATAAAGTATATAAAAAATAAATCTTTTTAACCATTCTTTTTACCTTGAACGTTTGGGGTCCCAGTACACTGCTAAGGGCCTGCTCCGTATTTTTTTTTTTAAACGATGCACTTTAGAGGAAACTGTACAAGGATTTTGGGCAACTCTGACCTCTGACTGTTTAAGGCAAAAACATTTTTGGCGATCTCGACATAAAAGGGTTGAAAATTGACTTATGGGATTGTGAATTTTATGGAGTAGCCACCTTTCAAATAAGACGTTATAGTTGGGAAAATTGGAAAAGTATTGCTACCTTATCGTCGGTAAATAGCATATGTAATGGGAAAGCAACCTCCTTGAGATATGAATTAGTCCAATCGGCGCGATATGCATATTAGCTACTTACTGATTTTTAGTTTATTGTACTCAATCTTAAAATTAACCAAATAATAATTATATGTAGGCATATGTATATCTGCATGTAATATACTTCTAGAACACCGATAAAATGCTACATACTATGATAAAAGATCTGATGAGTGATGATATTGTTGTAGTGCAATTTGCAATATAATTTTGTGCAATTTGTAATAAAATTTTTAGTAACAGTAATTTTAGTTTCTGTTTTATTGATATCAGTTTTATTTTAATTTAACGATTAAATTGTGAATATTACAAGCTACTGCTTTAGCGAACACAAATATGTATTTAATTTGTACTGATAAGGTGATATAAGATGTTGCAAATTTAATAAAAATATGTACATTCATACATTATTTTTTTCCTAAAAATTTACTCATATGTAGATTACGACCATTTTCTACGTAATCAATATCTCATAAAAAGTACGTATTAACTAATTCAAAAATTGGATTGATTTGGCGAAAAAATAATTCGTAGCAACAAATGCAACAATGTGGAATGAATATTTAATTAAGATTACACAAAATTCTACTTCGATATTTAAAAGAATAAATTGTTTTCTTGTAATCAATCTGTTATAATTGTTGTTGAGAGGTTGTATATTTTTCTGTAAGACAGATCGAAAATGATGCAGAAATGGTACAAACAAAAGCAACATTTTTTTCTTCCTATTCAATTGAATCATTTTTTGTTTAAAGAGAATAACAGCAGGGACGCATGCACTGACCTTTATGAAATATTCCGAACGAAGAAATATGGTAAAATTGATAAAGCGGTCTAAAGTTCATAAAAATATGAAATATTAAATAAATTAAAGCACTATTTTTNGAACGAAGAACGTTGTTCCAAATTTTTATTTGTCTCGTAGCATTTTCACATACCTCCCAAACACCCTTAAATTATAAATTAGTATCAAGCGGTTGAAAAAATGTAGATTTACGTTGTCACCGTTAGTTTATGGGACAAAATCTACACACAAGAAATTTAGAAATACCTGAATGGATTTAGTTTGGAAAAAGACATTTTCCTAGTTCCTCAAACTCTGCCCTGGTATCTTGAAAGAATAAAAATTAATTAATATTTGTTATACATGTTGTCATTCAGCTATATATTTTAGTTTATCTAGAAAAATATATACACATTTTTGATTTTTTGTCTTTTCTGCGATGGCCCTAAATCTTTTTGAAAATCTTCAGTGGGAGAAATGGTACTTTTTTATCACAACTATTTGGGGGGGACATGCCACAGTTTTATTTAAAAACTTGGAGACCAATAAAATGAACAACATGTGAAGAAATTTGATTTATGAATTTGCCTGTGTTTGTGTCGTTGATCGAGTATCAAAATGGTTTATTACAGCATTTTACTAGACCACTCCTCCCTCCCCTTAATCACTCTAGCGGGCCGATTCTAAAAATACTTCAACTAATAGAAAGCTACACTATGCTTGAATAATATAGGCTTATAGGCTAAGTGGCTTAGTATATTTTATTTTGTTGAAAATAAACTTTTATTTAGAAATCGTATGGTCAATATTTATTAATCAAGTCGAAAAAAAAAAGATTTAATTGCAAGCTGACCAAATGCTGTTGCTTTTCCACACGGGCCAGGTCGTTTATAGGCAAATGAATTAACGATGCCATAAATTCAAAAATCTTAAAAATTTCTCTTTAATTTAAAACATGCCTTAGGCTATTAAAACAATTAAAAAATTTTGGAACGAAGTTCCTTACCGTATTTATATTTATGAAAAAAAAATTATTTACTAATTAGCTGGTGTTTGAATGAATATCGATTTTTTTTAACAATTCGATAAAGAATGTCACCTGTGTACGTATAGCTACATTTTTCGTAATTACGGTATTGTGTAAGAATACAATTTAATGTCGTATAGTCTTTAATTACCGTTTTCACGTAATTATTCATAGATTGTTGTAGTGCTAATATTAATCCACTCACTTTAATTACGTTGTTAAATCAATCATTTAGACTTTTAAAGCGAATCAGTCGTTAAATTGCACAATTAGCTCAACAAATTAATACCTCGCAATTTTAAAATATCTCTAAACATGAGTTAAAAATTTAAATATTGGATACAAATAGTTTTGTGAAAAACTTTCCTATTTATTAAATATATGATTATTACGCTGTTATATTGATTAATTTATTCTTTTTGTTAATAAAGCATGAAATAATTATGTGCAGGTTTGAAAATATGAAAGTGTTTTACTCCCCCATAGCACTGCATCACCCCCCTAGAATAGCCTGATCTTTTTAATATTTTTTATATGCAATTTTCATTGAAATTTTATTTTTTTATTGAAAGCTACCTAAAACAGTAAATTTTTATTTCTTTAGCCACGTTGCTCAAATGTTAAAATGGCATGCATTTTACTAGCTTCCCCCCCCCTCCTAAATCATAAAATATTACAAAAAGGAAATGTGATAGGAACAAGAAACTATATTGCACCATCCAGTTATAATCTGCTTTAATAGTTATTTGTAAATAAAATAAGTAAAAGATTTATTAGATTTTAGGTAAATAACGGAGATACCGCTTATTTACTTTGCCATGTGAACTAAACTAAAAATAAAATGATTCAAAAGTAGGCAACCCAAGTAACACCTAAGTAGCGTATTGCATAACGACCGTACCCGCCGTTTCTAAGCAAATCATAGCTTAATTACCTATAAAAATTAAAAAATTACTTTTAGGATATAAACAGTTTTTTTAAAAGTTACTGCTTCTACTGGACGGAAATGTACGAAACAAAATAGTTTGAAAACAAAAACGTAGAAACTTTTTTTAAATTATTGCTGCATTTAATCAATAATTTTAAATGAGTATACCTAATAATAATCAATTTAATAACATTTGCGTTTCTTTTTATTTATTAACATAGCAAATACCTTTAATAGATTGGTGCGATTTTTTATTTAATTATGCAGCATATCTAAATGTGCATTCATTTTTCTGAACTTACGTATGTGTAATTGACATACATAATATATTTGTAAGCAATTTAGGATTTTATTATTACGCAATAAATCACCTGTAAAGATAATACAGGCGATTATAAACGTTATCTTTTTTGCCCTTTATATGTATATCTTAAGTCAAATTAGGATTCAATGTTGATTATTATCAATGCCAAAACCGAATGAGATTACTAGTCTTAAAATAAACAGAAAGGTAGACATTTTAATAAGGTAATTTGAGGGAATATCAAAACGTTACACATTCATTCGATAAACTTTTTATTAAACACCTATAATGACGTGTTTTGATAAAGCAATTTAGAAAAATTATACCTTTTTATTTTCGCCCATTAATTATTAAAATCTGAAAGTAATTTAGGACAATATAAAATTATAGCTACAAATTTTACCAATCATTGTGTCTGTCTTATTACCAATGCGAGCCAATTTTAAATCGATCTGGTTGATTTAAAATCAATGCTAATTAATTAAATGACTTATCACCTGTTTCTTATGTAATTTACTTTCATCCATTCACTGATCTCAATTTTTTTTAATTAGTATTCCGATTTTAGTTTAAATAACAATCACTATATATTCCACGTATATATAGTAGTAGAGTAGCTACCTACGTTCAAAGGTACACACGCCACTATAAAGAGGGGGAAAATTTTTTGAAATTTATCGAGGTAAGACTTGGGTCCTGCATGACACTCCAGAACCAAAACCGCGAGCGATCAAAGCCATACTCTCTCCTAGCGTGATTTTTATCTTTGACAGACTTTTTTAGTAGTTCAGGTGGGATAATTTCGGCCATCCACTCTACAGTCCAGATATCGCACAAAGAATTACCATCAAAGAATTAAAGAACGTTGCCGAGATGTGCCAGTCATCAAGGGCGGCAAGCAAGTATAATGATGGCATTGTAAAAAGCTGGTGTCACCATATGACAAAATATAAAATTAAATTAGTTTTTATTAGGTCTTGATTACACTGTTTTTGTTGGTAGGTACCATACGGAGATAAAACGTGACTGCCTATTTCAAATTTGAAAAACATAAAATTCTGGTCGTTTAAATAGTTTGTGAAAAAATTATGGAGAATACATAACGACGCCAGGGAGGTGACAATTAAATTATTCATGAGCCCTATTGCATTTTTCATACGTTAACTAGTCGACGATCTGTTTTATCCATATATGGATAAGGTGGGTTGCCAATATTATAATTTTAAAGATCGCTCTCTGGATGTGTAGATGTATTGTTAAGTGCCTCGGTATCCCGACATTCGACGACCGATTTGTATGGGCTATAATTTTTCGCTATTTTGTCACTGAAAGATGGTATTTTCACTATTTTGTCGTTTGTATCCTCCACCTATCCAGCGATAGATAGCCGCAAAGTTGGCATCACACATACGGTATCCCAAAAATAGAAATGGTGTCGAAAAATATTGTAAGGGCTATATTTGTCGCTGACAGAAGATTCTTTTACTGATTTTGTCGTTTGTCTATCCTCCATCTGTCTAGCGCAAAGCGACTAAAGAGCCGCGAAGCTCACACTTTTGTCGTTTCCCTGTGCTCCATTTGTCTGCGAAAAAAGACTAGATAGCCCTCAAGCTGGTACTACACAGAGCGTATCTCGAAATAAAAATGGTGAAGAATAATATTGTAAGGACTGTAATTTGTCACTTAACGATACTCTCTTTTACTCATTTTGTCGCTTCTCTGTGCTACATCAATCTGGCGAAAAACGACTGGATAGCCGCCAAACTGGCGCTGCACATAGCGTATCCCGAAATAGAAATTGTGAAGAATATTGTAAGGGCTGTAATTTGTCGCTGAATGGTCTAAAGCTCTAAAGAGTAGACAAGCCGAGAAAATGCTCACAGAGGCAAAAATAGAGGGACGACAAAATTACAGTGCTCAGCAGCAACGGTTGTAAATTCTTACTTCTTAAACTTCTTTTAAAGTGCTGTCTCATAATTTATAATTTTAATACTGTATCCTAATAATTAGCCAAGCAGCAACAAAAATAGGAAAGAAAAAACCAACTCTTTTGGGCACTTAAAATCTAATGATTTTTCATGATTTTTTCAGTTGGGAATATAAGAAAATAATTCCGATTTTTTTCCCTATTTTACACTTCTGAAGTGGTCACCCTTATCGTTTCGTTTATGTTTCACAATGATCCTGTACTCACGTTGAGAGAAGTAGTTATTTCCGATAGTTTGTATGCAGGTACTTAAAAGAATATTTTATTGGGTATACCCTTTTATTCCAAAACGTTTGGGTGATTCCCCAAGTTGATTCGCTGACTATACACATAAGCAAAAATTCGGATACTATTTTTTCATTAGTATTTTTTGCCTGGGGCAGCTAAATTGTTACAGAGGGCCATAACATACATACATAATATCTACACAAACGCATTTAAGTGCGTGCATCTGTTGCAGGCAGCTATTTTCTGAATAATTACCTACTACTGATTCGGTTTAGGTGGTTTTGAAAGCAGTGCTGTATTCAAAAGTGGATAACTACAGTAGCTCTGTTCGCAGCTCTCTAATTTTAAGACACCATTAATTATTACAATAACATAAGTATAACAATATAATTGCAGCATTCGACAATACTTTATATTAAGTCTGTTTTGAATAGCAACTTCTACTTTATGACTTTTTATGCAGTTTTATTTTTAGTTTCAAAATGTCAGAGCGAAAAACATGCACTTATAAATACCATGCAACCATGCTAAAGGCTGCGTGCATATTTATAATACTCACATTTCGTCAACAACCATCTTGACTTTTTTTCTGTAATATAACAATAATACATTGTAAATATTATGTACAAACAAATTATACACATAAACAAATATATGTATATTACTATTACCTATATTTGTACTGGAAATATTACGAAAACTACCAAACAAAAAGTTTTACATGTGGTTACAAGTACCTATTCGGGCGACGTTTTTTATATCAATTTATTTTGTAACGGTGTTACCTAATTAGATAATAAATGTTAAAAATGCTAATGTTCAAAAGACACTTGAAGATTGCGAACAGAATTATATGTAAGTACATACTTATAGAAATAACCTTTTTTATTCGCTGAAAAAATACAGAAAAAATATTGAGAAATGACGTAAATTTATACAGCAAATATTAAAAACAAAGGGCCTTTTAATACGACATCTAGACATGACACTGGGTTCGCATAGTGTTTCAAACTAACCGATAGGAGAAGACGATTCCAATATTATCAAACTAATTTCTATAATCATTATGTTAAAATAATATTAGAAAGTAGAATCGTAAAGAAGTCTGTCAACGTTAAGGCTCGGTTAATACGGCTCTTGGCAGGCGTATCAGGCGCGGAACCGGCGAGTCAAGCCGGACACGGAGAGGGCGTACTGTCCCGTGCACTCTTAGGTATTATCGCTATCTCAACCGAAAATGTTTACACACGCTCAAATAATTTTTTTAAGTATAAAATTACGTTAAGTATAGTATTTAGTATATTTCAATTCATTTAAATTTTACCAAAAAATTCGCAATTATGGACAGGAATTCTTAGAATATTAAGTTTTTGATTGCCTACTGGCGTCTACATTTAAAACCCCCTTCGGGGGTGGGAGTGGGGGGATCGAAAGAGGTCACCCCCACCACTGTACCATAAAAAGTTCGTGGCGGTCTACCCCCATAAAAAGTTATGGGGGTTCAAAGTTAATAAATGTGCCAATTTTTATACATTTCTAAGCATGTAAATATTTATATAGTCATTCTTAAACAATATTCAAAGGTAAAACTAATGAAAAATACATAAAAATATTGAGAAAGTTATATAAAACATTATTTAAATAGCTTTATCAATAGGGTAGGTTAGGTTAGGTTAGGTTATCGGGTTTTGTTCAAGTGACCACCCTCTTTCGATCCCCCACCTCCACCCGCTTGAAAATTGAATTTTATTTGAATTATAGTGTATGAAAATTGTCAAAATAATCAACTTTCAACCCCCATAACTTTTTATGAGGGTGAAACAAATGGGCAGGGGTTTTACTCAGGTGACCACCCTCTTTCAATCCCCCCTACCCTCTTTTGATCCCCTCTTCCCCCACCCCCATCTTACTCCCATAAATTTTTATAGGGGTGAGACCGCCACGAACTTTTTATGGTACAGTGGTGGGGGAGGCCTCCTTTTCTAGACATTTACCAAACCGTGAATTCACATCATCCGACGCAATCGCTTCCGCCAAAACGTTGCGGTGCAAACGCACAGTGTAGACAAGCACTTATAACTGTTGAGGATCACACTTAACAACTTACGATGAGCGAACTACTCTAGACTAATACAGGCCGTTCCGTTACGGTCGTGTAATTGCACCTTTAGACAACAGTAAGTATTCTTAATCGGTTCTTATCATCAAAATTGAAATTTACAGTGAATTAGACCGTCTAGAAGATGGACTTTGCCGTGCACTTTGTACATTGATAATTTTGACACCTACATGTCTTTATTTATAAATAAACTAGCGTAAAGTAATCGTAAGTAGAGTAACCTACACAGATCTAACAGATACGGGTGTTAATTAGATAACAAGGACAATTTGGGTTACTACACGACATACCACTGGTACTAACAATTTAGAATTTGACGCGAAACGTAAAATTTAAATGAGCATCACATATTTTACGGTGGTACATAAGCTTTATTTGTAAAAGCGGTGGCTATCAAAAGTAGAAGTATTTGATTATGCGTAGAGAAAAGAATATATTCATAGGTAGGTACTAAGGCTTGTCTTACTGTGGTTACCTACCAATAATTATATTAATAATTATATTTTCTACATCCATTGTACAAATATTTGCCAAACAGCTTACTATTTACACCTCAATTTTTTAGTTTTTCCCGAAAATTGTACGTATGATTGTTCAAATGTAGAATTTCTTTTCCATGTTCAGATAAAATAATTTTTACATTAACATAATTTTTTCATTTTACTAAACCAAGAGGGAATATAAAAATAGGAGACAAAAAATTAGAATAAATGGCCGATTTTAGGTATCTAGGAAGTCAGATAAGTCAGGACGGAGGGAGTAGTAGATATAAAGCAGAGGATAGCACAGGGTCGAGTCACCTTCAATAAAAAGAAGTCACTTCTACGATCCCGAACGATTAATTTGGGAATTACAAAAAGATTGTTAAAGGTGTATGGTTTGGAGCGCAGCGCTGTACGGGTTCAAAAAATGGACGGTGGGTGCGGCGGAAAAGAAAACGTTAGAAGCATTCGAAATGTTGTTACAGGAAAAGATGAGGATACCGTGGTTAGATAAGGTTAGAAATGAAGAAATATTAGAACAGAGGAAATCAATAAGAAATAGGCGAGATATGTTGATAGGATACCTTCTCAGGCATTAAGGGGCAGTCAGACACATATTAGAGGCAGAAACAGGAGTTAAGAGGAGTAGGGGTAGACCCGGATTAGATTACTGTTCGTAAATAGTTAAGGATGTGGGATGTTTTAGTTTTAGGGAAATGCGAAGATTAGTTCAGGATAGAAAAGAGTGGAGGTGCGTTTCCAACCAGTCTTACGACTGACGACCTTATGATGATACATCAAAATGACCGACCTCCTTTCTTGGGGGGATCATGAGTCGAGGAGCATAATAAAGGTTTGACTTGACGAAAATTAGCAATTTAAAGGTTTTGAGCCAATGCCAATGTTATGCGGTTTTTCTCGGTAAATGTATGACACAAGAGCTACCTGCCAATAAAATCTAACATATGACTTAAATTAAGCTAGAATAACAATAATGACTTCACCCTCTTACTTCACCGTCAGTGGCGCAACGTTAGTGTCCTACATGTGGAGCTATAGGTCCCGTGTTTGAATCGCAGAATTGACAGACTACCCCAGACATATATTCACTATGCTACAGAATAACAGATAACACTGATAGGGTTGTTTTCACCAAGGGTTTAGGTTAGGCTTTAGTTGGAAAGGTTTCCCTAATTGATATATGAAGATCTAGAACTATGTGTTTAGTTTACGTAGTTTCTCTATGAGTAGCATGTGTTAAGTGTTCTGTACCAAGAGTTAAGCGCTTTGCAGCATGAATAATTGGGAATCGACATGCTTACGTATCATTAGGTAAGTCTAGGTTAAGGTTTGAGGTATGAGTTAGACACACCTCCAAAACATTTTTTATGATAAGGGGCGTAACATCCGTAGGTTTTCGTAACGAAAAACATTGACATTTGTGATTCACAAAAAAGTCATTGGCATGGCCCTTAAAGCAAGCCATTAATTTTAAAAGTAAACGAGTTCAAAGTCTTGTAAAATAATCATTTATTTAAAGCTTGATTCCCACTACACTACGCGACGGTAGGCAGCCGTCCGTCAAAATATTATTCAGTTTAATAAGCATTGTGCATTCACACTATCAGTGTATTGCAGGAGAGAATACATTAACGTGACGGCGTCTGTCGTGCCTGTTTGTGATGATCGTTGATACTAATTCGTGGTAACTAGCGAAGGGGTGCTATTAAGCGAAATCATCAAACCGATATTTTAACATTCTAACTTACTGATGAAATTTTATTTCATCATCTAACAATTCCTTATGCTATATAAAAAAATCCCCTTCACTTTTTCTGTCCAATAAACTTGACGCTTCTTCTTCTTCGAATAAAAAAGCAATAATTTCTGAATCAGTAAACGAATAATTTTTAAACATAGCGACGAAAAGATGTTAACTATCTAAAGTTTGACTAAAGATTGATAATCAGCTGTTATATAATGCGAGTACAACATAAAACTGACGGACATTTGACGGACGGTTGCCGGTGGCATTCTAAACGGACAGTGTGAATCAGCCTTTAATCATAAGAATCGAAATGTAACAGGAATCGATACTGCCGACTCCCAAATTCAATCGAGGCCGAAGATTTTTAGTTTGTTATTATATATGTAGATTACAGGTAACAATTTTACGAAGATTACTTATCATTCCAACATATTGTCGACACAATGTTCATATTATTATAATAACTAGAAACGAGTACAAATTCCATATTCGTTATCGGCGTTACTTTTCGAGTTTGTACTTCGCGCCGTAATTGAAAGGTGAACATAAACATTTACCGGTTAGCAACTATCCATAAAATGATAGCGTGTTGTGATGATTATAAAATATCAATTGCTTTTAATCTTTGGAATCCACGTAAAATTCTAATAATCGCTTGTCACTGTAGTCGGAGAGCTAGACACGCGATTTCAAAATATGAACAAATTTTACGGTAAAATGTTAGGATAAATAAGGAGAGGGGCTATGTTTCTAGTCCACTATGATGAATCAGGGGTAGATGCAAAGGGTGAAAGTACTCTATTTGTTTTTTTTAATAGAAATCAGCTTCAAGGGTATTTTCGATTATTGGATTTTCCGCTCTATCCACTGCTGAGGTCAAGCGTATGTGTTACGATTAAAAAAAAGAATTGAACTTCAAATGACCTCGAAGGTCAAGATCATGTTCAAGTGTCCAGTTGTTTTCCCTTTCCGATTCGATTTCCGAAATAATGGGAACCAATCAAGATATTTCACTTTTTTCCAATCATTTTTGTCTCCTTCACTCCTTCCCTTTTGTTCCAACGAACATGTCCGCCTTTCGGGGAATTCAATTAACTATATCGCGGTCTACGTTTATGTAAACTTTTGAGCATTAACTCGATGACGTAAGTTAAAAAGGGATAGAACACTTTCACCTTAGACAATTTGTTCCCAGTGAACTGTTCGCCTGCTTAGAAATA